ACCTATTAGAATACCTAGATATTTTTTAACAGATGTGTTCCACAATAGAACACCGGTAGATGTATTGTACACATATTTTAAAAAAGCTTTTGATAGTGTTTCACATAAAAAGTTATTATCCAAGTTATTGACTTTTGGTATATCTGGTAAACTTCTTACGTGGATCGTCTGTTTTTTAGCTAACAGAAAACAAAGAGTGGTTTTAGGTAAAAGTGTGACAGATTGGGTCGATGTACTTAGTGGTGTACCACAAGGGTCTGTTCTAGGTCCTCTCCTTTTTTTGGTATTTATAAATGATTTACCAGAAAATTTTATTAATGAATGTCATTTATATGCTGATGATAATAAGATAATTGCACCTATTTCTTCTCAAAATGATTCACAATTGTTTCAAAATGATATAAATAAACTTGATGAATGGTCAACAAAATGGAAATTAGGATTAAATTTTGAAAAATGTAAAATTATGCACTTTGGTTCAAATAATAACGATATTCATATTTTATGAACAATAACAATACATTAATGGAAATTGAAAAGTCAAAATTAGAAAAAGACATTGGTGTTTATATATCAAGTGATTTAAAATGGGCCAAACAAGTAAAATATGCAGCTAGTAAAGCAAATAGTATACTCTCACTACTAAATAATACATTCAAGTACAAGGATAAAGATCTAATAAAAACACTGTATTGTACATATGTTAGACCAAATTTAGAGTTTTCAATTCAAGCATGGAGTCCATATTATACAAAAGATATTAATGAACTAGAAAAAGTCCAACGAAGAGCTAACAAAATGATACCGGAGCTTAGACTTGAGTACAAAAAAAGATTGGAAATTTTGGGTTTGACTACTTTGGAGACTAGAAGGCTAAGGTGCGATTTAATCCAGCAATTCAAAATATTTAAAGGTATTGAAATCATTGATATTAAACAAAATCAAACAATGAACTCTATTTGCTCATAAGGTCCTGCAGCTAACATTAGAGGAGCAAAACATCAAATGAAACCTGAATTGGTCAGAAATTGTTTGAAAAGGCAATGTTTTTTCAGCAATAGAGTTGTCGATGGATGGAATAGTCTACCAGCCGAAGTTGTTCCATCTACTGCAGTTAAAAGCTTCAAATTAAACTTGCAACCGGTCGACTTAGAAGCAATAACAAACAAGATAAAAACCAAGAAAGCTTACTATTAACGTTTTTTATTATTTAGTGACTGAACTAACTTGTTCATTAATTAATTTATACCGGCTGTCATAGATATTGCCTGGCGCTTTATCTCAACAGCATTAATTAATAATAATAATAATAATAATAATAATAATAATAATAATAATATGTATATATATATATATAGACTGTAAAACATAGAAATGAAGTCAACAATTTCTTGCCGACCTCAAACACTTTCAGGTCCGCAGTTAGGTCGGAATTGCCGAATATCGACCTTAATTTCAAGAGTTGATATATATATATATATACATACATACATACATACATACATACATACATACATACATACATACATACATACATACATATAAAAGAGCTCGAAAAAATCGCCGGACATTGGACATTGTCTGGTAAAAACGACATCTATTGGTCATTTTGTCCGACCCATATTTTATATGCATTTATTTTTAATTATTTTAGTTGCTCCAAAATTATTAATAAAATTCAGTATTGTATATAAACTTTATTTTTTGAACTTTTTATTTTTTTATACAAAACAAAATTGAAGTTGAACACTTGGCAACGTTAATAAAATGCGTCATTTTTTTGAGTTAATTAATTTTATTGAAAGACGCCAAAGCATTACATTTTTTTGAATTAAGCAGCCTGGTTTTTATCATTTACATTAAAACGTGGCAATTAGTTATTAATTTAAATTTATAGTTTTATTTTATTTTTTGTCTGATGGTTTTTATAAATTTTAAACAAATATTTTAGTTTTTAAAACTTATTTTAAAAAAATTTTAACGTAGTAGTTATTTTAATGTTTATAGAAACCAGTACTTTTTTTATTACAGTATTAAATTTGAGTTGTTATGTAATGTTTGTTTTTGCGCTAAAAACTTTGGGTCAGAGTAACAACATCAGTTTTTGCCATGTCTAATAACATCTGTAAATATAATGTCCAACAACATCTGTAAATATAATGATG